TTTCCTTCCATTCTCCCCACCATCATTGTCTTCAAGCTTTCCTGTCTTCTCATGATGTAGCCAAACTAGGGAAAAGGGGGGACTTATTTACTACTCCTGTTTGCCACAACCTTCTCGATTGAGCCTGAATTTCTGAAGAGAAGTGTAAATGACATTCCACGGGGACACCATTGTAGGCTTTCATCAATTTAGGAAGCCCAATGGTTCTTATTCCTAATCACAGAGGGAACTGGAACCATTGGAGTTTGAAACAATAAGGTTTAGAGCACTATTTTCAACCTTCCTAATTCTGCGACCCCTTAATACAGTTCCTCATTTTGTGGTGACTCCCAATCATAACATTATTTTCATTACTACTTCATAACTGTAATTTTGCTACTGTTATGAATTGTAATGTAAATATCTGATACGCAGGATGTATTTCCATTCACTGGACCAAATTTGGCACAAATACCTGATACGCCCAAATTTGAATACTGGTGGGGTGGCTGGGGTTGGGGGGTTGGGTGTTGATTTTCTCATTTGGGAGTTGTAATTACTGGGATGTATAGTTCACCTACAATCAAAAAGCATTCTGAACTCCACCAACAATAGAAATGAAGAAAACTTGGAACACAGAACTCTCCTGACCAACAGAAAACACTGGAAGGGTTTGGTGGGCATTGACCTTGAGTTTTGGAGTTGTAGTTCACCTACATCCAGAGAGCACTGTAGACTCAAACAATGATGGATCCGGACCAAACTTGGCACGAATACTCAATATGCCGAAATGGAGTTTGGGGAAAATAGACTATGCCATCTGGGAGTTGTAGTTGCTGGGATTTAAAGTTCACCTATAATCAAAGAGCATTCTGAACCCCACCAAAGATAGAATTGGGCCAAACTTCCCACACAGAACCCCATGACCAACAGAAAATACTGTGTTTTCAGAAGGTCTTTGGAGACCCCTCTGACACCCCTTCATGACCCTCCCAGGGGTCCCAACTCCCAGGCTGAGAAACACTGGCTTAGAGTGACAAACAAGTTGCTATTATCTTTAGAACAGTTAAAAACATTAAAAAATAAGACAATAAATAGAGATGGAGTAATTTTGCTTGTGTATCAAGTATGAGGCTGTGGTAGCACAGTGGGTTAAACCACTAAACCGCAGAACTCGCTGACCGGAAGATTGGTGGTTCGAATCCATAGGTCGGGGTGAGACCCAGCTTCTGCCAACCTAGCTTCTGCCTACCTAGCAGTTCGAAAACATGCAAATGTGAGTAGATCAATAGGTACCACTTTGGTGGGAAGGTATTGGCACTCCATGCAATCATGCCGGCCACATGACCTTGGAGTCGTCTATGGACAATCCTAGCTCTTCGGCTTAGGAATGGAGATGATCACCCCCCCCCCCCCCTTCCAGAGTTGGACAATCTTTACCTTAACAAGTATACCTTTTAGTTAGATTCTTGAAGCCATTTTAGCGGCATTTTCCATTATTTTTCCAAATCTTGTGCTATTCTCTTATCAATCCTAAATGCCTCTTTCTAATGAATGAAAAGTAGCAGAATAATGCCAGTGGAATAACTGTTGTTTTTATTTTCTTCCAAAATTCTGGTGTTTAATGATAGCAGATTACTTTCTAAACCAGTGGTTCCCAACCTGTGGTGCGTGGACCACCAGTGGTCCACAAGAACTAAAATATGGTTTGTGGCCTCACCATTACTACACGGCAAAACCACACGGCAATGAGAGCGACTGGTCTCGCAAAACCCTCTTATACTGTTAAGGCAACGAGAATATTGGGAGGGGAGAGGCTGACTACCAACAAAAGATTACTACTACCACATCATAGCTATGTGGGCGAGCAGATGGCGATTACTGGATGGCATATGTTCTGTATCGGAAACTAAAGCTGATGTGGTCTGTCCAATGCAATTTTCTGAATCAGCACCCCAAATAACCAAACTGAATCTAAAGTTGACCAAAATAGTTTGTAACCCTTTTGGTACTGATGTTGGAGAGTGGTCCCTGGTCAAAAAAAGTTCGGGAACCACTGTTCTAAACAGTATAAAGGAATGCAGTGAGTCCTTAGTATCTGCCTGCTGGAGTTTGCTTCCAAAATCCATGCATACCAAAATCCATGATTGCCCAAGTCCCATTATATGCAAAGGCTTGATAAAATGCTGTCACTGCTACAAAAGGGCAAAAATTGAATATGGGGATGATTCAGTCTGAGGATACAGAACCTATGGATATGGAGATCCAAATATATCTAGATTTATTTCCTGTTCAAAAGTAGCATCTCTAGTAAGTAGGGCTGGGCGGTTTCGTTCGTTAATTTCGTAATTCGTTATTAATTCATTTTTTTGATAACGAAGCGATATTGAACCATTCAGGAGCAACTAAAAAACGAAACGATTTTTTTCAATTTGTTTCGTAATTGTTTCGTAATTGTTTCGAAATCGTTTCGAACTCGTTTCAAAATCGTTTCGTTATTACTTCCGCATGTCTGGTGCAAGTTTTAGGGTTGCTGTTTGTTTTATCAGTGAAAAAAAATATAATTATCGCACCAACAGTCAACAACCGAGGGAGAGGGAAGCTTCAGAAGTTCCCCCTGTCCCATTTGGAGGTTTTTTTAGCGTATTGCGCGATCGCGTCCGCCATTAACAAATCGATTTGTAATTGTTTCATTATTGTTTCGCAATTTCTGAAATTTCGTAAATATCGAACTTTTTTAAAGAAAAATTTCGGAATTCTTTTAAAAATCGAAACGCAAAAACCCCCTAAAAACGAATTGAGTTTAGAAACAAATTTTTCCGTGGTTGCCCAGCCCTACTAGTAAGCTCCTTCAATCAACTTCAGTTATGGTCTCTTTTCAGGCTTCCCTTGGCAACATGGGAAACCCTAAGAGAGAAATGAGCAGGGTGAGCATGTAGGTCCTCATGTTCCTTGTGAAATATCTGAGCAAGTCTTTTAGTTAAGCCCTAAAGAGGTAAGAATGCTGAGTGAATTTGCCTAAAAGGAGTTCAAGACTGAACAGTACAATTGGCCCTCTGGATTTGCGGATTGGATTATTCACAGATTTGCTTTTTCTAGGAACCATTATGTCCTCCAGCGCAAATCTATGGTCAACTTCTGCCAGAGGCTGAGCAGTCATGTTGGAAGATTTAGGGCTAATCTACACTGACATATAACCCAGTTTGTGATTCCAGAATATCTGCTTTAAAGTGGATTATATTGCAGTGTAGACTCATATAATCCAGTTCAAGGCAGATAATCTGGGATCAGATACAGGATTATATGGCAGTGTATATACAAACACTTCTTTTGGAATCTCTAGATTAGGCCTAGACAAACTTGGACCTTCCAGGTGTTTTGGACTTCAACTCCCACTATTCCGAATAGCCTCAGCCCCCCCCCCCCCCCCCCCCCAGCTGCTTAAGGGGCCGGAGGCTGTTAGGAATGGTAGGAGTTGGAGTCCAAAGCACCTGGAGGTCCCAAGTTTGCCCATGCCTCCTCTAGATGCTCCAGTGTTGTTTGATGGTCAACTTCCTGAGTCATGGGCATGGGCAAACTTTCTAACTTGGGGGCCCGCATACTAGGACTCCCTGCTAGGAGGACTGGCAGCCTGATGATGGAAGGAAGGAACTGAAGGAGAAAGGAAAGAGAGAAGGAAATAAGGACGAAAGGGAGGAAAGGAATGATGGAAGGAGAAAGAGGAGGAAGGAAGGAAGAAGGAGGGAGGGAGGGATGGAGGGAGGGAGGAAGGAAAGAGAGAAGGAAGGAGAAGGAAGGAGGGAAGGAGGAGGAAGAAGGAAGGAGAAAAAGAAAAAGAGAAGGAAGAAAAGGGAAGAAGGAAGAAGGAAGGAAAGGAAGGAAGGAAGGAAGGAAGGAAGGAAGGATGAATGAAGAAGGAAGGAAGGAAGGAAGAAAGAGGAAGAGGGAGGAGAGGGAAGAAAAGGAAAAGGTTGGAAGGGAAGGATAGAAAGGAGAAGAGGGAAGAAGAAAAGGGAGGGAGGAAGGGAAGGAAGAAAAGGAGAAAGAGAAGGCTGGAGGAAGGAAGGAAGGGAGAATAAAGAAGGAGAAGGAAGGAAAAAAAGGGAAGAAGGAAAGGAGGAAGGAAGGAAGGAAAGAAGGAAGGAAGGGAAGGAAGGAAGGAAGGAAGGAAGGAAGGAAGAAAAGGAAGGAGAAGGGAAGAAGAGGAGAGAGGGAGGAAAAGGAAGGAAGGAAGAAGGGGAAGGGAAGGATGGAAGGAGAAAGAGGGAAGGAAAGACAAAAGGGAGGGAAGAAGGGAAGGAAGAAAAGGAGAAAGAGAAAGCTGGATGGAAGGAAGGGAAGGAAGAATAAAGGAAAGAGAGAAAAGGGAGGGAAAGAAGGAAAGGAAGGAAGGAAGGAAGGAAGGAAGGAAGGAAGGAAGGAAGGAAGGAAGGAAGGAAGGAGAAAGAGAGAGCGAGGGAGGAAAGAGGGAAGTAATTAAGGACAACAGGGTGGAAGGGAAGGATCGATGAAAAGAGAAAGAGGAAGAGAGGGAGGTTAGGAGGAAGGAAAGAGGGAAGAAAGAAAAGCCAAAAAAGTGGGGGAGGGGGGGAGAAGGAAGGGAGAAGGAACTAAGGAAGGGAAGGAAGGAGGAAGGAAAGAGAAAAGGAAGGAAGGATAGGATGGTGAGAGAGAGGAGGGCCTGAGAAGCGCCCAAGGGGCCATATCCGGCCCCCGGGCCTGGGTTTGGCCATACCTGGACTAGATATTCCTAGAGAGGTGTTGTGGTGGTACTTGTGCCCCTAACCCCTAATGTGGGAGACTATACCAATAAGCCAGCTGCACATCCTGTTTGCATGTATAAACATTAGGAGACTCTTAGATTCACCTTCTGAGATCAAAAGGAAGAAAACAATGTGCTTGTGGACACAAAAGGGGTGGCCTTTCCAATTCCCTACCTGTGTGGATGACAATGTACACCTCTGCTTGTTGAACCATTTCTTTAACTCTGTATCAAATGCTCTTCCCAATTACTTTTTCAGGACACCGACACTCCAGCTCAAACAAATCAAACTACCCCGAGCACTACGACCACTCAGAGTAAACCAACTAATCACCAGATCATGTGCTGTGGTGGCCCAGCTTCCTTTCTCATACCACTTGTATTGGTGATGATTTGTCTCGTTCCAGTATACTGAGCCTGGAGGAGGATATGCTCTGGAAAGCTCTCCGGGCCCTCATGAAGCATCAAGAAATGAGTCTTTTCCAATCCAGCCAGCATATTCATTTTGTCAGCCCATAATGCTACACCGTCTGCCATTCTCTACACCTCAAGATTTCCTGGCTCAGTCTTCACCACCATCTTCACCATTTGCAAAATTAAAGGGGAAAGCTAATGGAGAGCTGCTGAGATAAATCCCAGATGCATGCATTAATACAGAGCTGCTCTACACAATTGAGGTCCAGAAGCCTGAAAGAAGATGGTTGCCAGACAGAATTCCTTTTGATTAAGACATTTTGAGACTGGTAGATAATCCTTCTAATATCTCCCCCTGTGCCTTCTTTGAGAAGAGTCAACATATCCATCATTAACATCCTCTTAGGCAGACTGCTGTGCATTAACACCCCAACCCTGTTTTGTGCATTTCCCATTTGTTTCAGTGGAGAGGATTGCCTCAGCCCCATTGACTGAGAGCTGCCTCCTACTTTGCTCCTTCTGACCTGCCAAATGAAGGGACCTCCTTGGCTTCTCCCATGGGATGACCATCTGCCGCAGTTTTTGGAAACCTGCTCTCAAGATGACAGTGAAAGAAGCACTCTCCAATATTTGAGAAAGTGTGTAGACAACACTCCGGTCCCGTGGATGTCCTCTTCAGAATTTCTTGTGGAGGAGAACATCATTTCCAACTTGGCTCACACCAACAGAAGAGGGCAAAGTGGATTTTGCAAATCTTCTCTTGGCATCTCTTGCAACCTTCCCCCACAATGTTTGGTTTTGTTTAATAAATGCATGCTTCTCGGCTGGCTTACCTGCCTTTTTCTTCTCTTTGCTGCTCAAACAAACCAAATAAATTAGCTGAGACCCTACAAGAAAAATCTCATCTCTACCTGTTAGGTAGAGATGGGATGTTAGGTTCCATCCTAACATTCTGCATTCTCTCATTCGAGTGTTATGAATAACTTTTCAATAATTTTAAAGCATTCTTTTCATTGCAGTTTGCCAGTAAGAGAAAGGGTATCAGGGTCTTTGGACCATATTTTATTAATTATTATTATTATTATTATTATTATTATTATTAACTTTATTTGTACCCCGCTAGCATGTCCCGAAGGACTCGATGCAGCTTACAAAGGCCAAGGCCTCAATAAAACAACAACATAATAATACACATAACATTATAAAGCAAATCAAATCATTAAGCAAAACAGTAAACAAAAACAATACTTCATAACACAATAAAACTAGGGCCGGGCCAAATGTAATGGGTACAGATTAAAAGTGCTGAGTATGACAGGTGAAATATAGGATTTAGGGTGAGTGCAATGTGCAGATAATCTTAAATCTCTGATAAAGTGCTTCTGGGACATAATGCTGGGGTTTCCTATTCTGGAAAGGCACACCGGAACAGCCAGGTCTTCAAACTCTTCCTAAAGATTGCCAATGTAGGGGCTTGTCTGATGTCCTTGGGGAGGGTGTTCCAAAGTCGGGGGGCCACCACAGAAAAGGCCCTGTCCCTCGTCCCCACCAGACACACCTGTGACACAGGTGGGATCATGAGCAGGGCCTCTCCGGATGAACAAAGAGAATGCGTGGGTTCATAAACGGAGATGTGGTCACGCAGGTAGGCAGGTCCCAAACCATTTAGGGCTCTGTAGGTGAGCACCTGCACCTTGAATTGGGACCGGAAAATGAACGGCAGCCAATGGAGCTCCTTAAACAGGAGGGTTGACCTCTCTCTGTAAGGAGCACCAGTTAACATCCTGGCCACCGCCCGTTGGACTAACTGAAATTTCCGGGCCGTTTTCAAGGGCAGCCCCACGTAGAGCGCATTACAGTAATCCAATCTAGAGGTGACCAAGGCATTATGATCCAAAGACCCTTATTGCAATGTAGGCACACAAGGTATGCAGATAATGAGATTAAGAACTTCCAGTTGATTGAACACACAAATGGATAAAAACTGCTGAAAATACATGTTGGCTAAAAACAGGTAAAATACTACAAGAAGTGCCAGCGTGCTTTAGCTTGCATCTAAAATTGGGAATTGTCTAATTCTGGCTGCCTCAGAAAGAAACTTGGTAACCACCAAGGTCACGTAGAAACTTCACATAAAATTTCACTGAACTTGCTGGTAAATTTCTTAGTAGGGGGTTGATTATGTGTGCTTGGGCCTGTTCATAGAAACTGCAGGACAGTAGAATGTGGTAGATGCACTCTACGTCCTATTTGTTACATGGGCAGAGTCATTATATGGGGTACCTGCAAATCTCCCATGCAGCAATTCATATGGGAACACATTTCACCTTGCTTTGGAAAATAGACAGCGGTATTTGGTGAGTCAAGTTCTTTAGATCGTTTGCTACATGGAAAAGCCCAACATAATGTATTGGACAGGGCACTAGGGGAGCAAGATACATAAGAGTGAGAGTGCCGCTCACAAAAGACAATATCCCACAGTGTCTATTTGATTGATTTGAGAGCCAGATGAGTTAGGAGGGATGCAGAAAGGCCGATGGAGGAAACTTTCTTAGAATTGATCTTAAACAAACTGCTTATATAATCATCCTGAGCTAAGTGATGAATCAAGCCAGATCCTAACTAAAAACTCCATCAGGGCTTTTTACAGAATAACGTTTAGACATACAGATTCTATGTAACTACATTGAACCTACAACCTATATTGGCTATCAAACAAAGAGGAATTACATTTTTATTCAGCATTCACATTATCCATACACATTCATTCATCCTCGTGCATCCAGATATTACCATATCCTTTCTCCTTCCAAGACAAGCACCTGTCCAGATATTACCATATCCTTTCTCCCTCCAAAATACATGACTCCAAAATTGTACTCCTTTCTCTTCCCTTGAAAAAAGGAGCAAGTGACAAGACTATGTTCTATTGCAGATCTGCCACTCCCAAAGTACACCATCTCTCTCAATAGAGCATGGCGGGTGAAGAGCACAGCTGTCTGATACAATTTTTGGATTGTAATAAGGTCTCTTATATAGCAATATTTCTTGCTGATGTTGTTCCAAAGTTGTAAATGAATGTTCGATGTTTCCAACCTGAAATATCCTGGCTTCATCTCAGTTCTGGCAGATGTTTGTCTACAGGTAACAAAGCATTGTGTTTTGAGTTTGACTTGAAAGAGTATTGTCTTTGACAAATGTAAACAGAAATAATTTCCTTTAGAGTTAATCTGGTTTCTGGTCAGCAAATATTGACACATGTAAACAGATGTAAACATTTCTCTTATCACAGTCACAGTTCTCATCAGAGTTTACTAGGACAGGTCAACTATTTCAGTTCTCATTAGCAGGTTTTAATTACAATTCAGCAAGCAGGTAGTTAATGGGTTAGTCATTGCAGGCCTTAATCTTCAGAATGGTGTTTCCAAAACTATTAGTTTTAATTTATTCATTCCTTTCATTCAGCTAATTCATTTTTGTTGTTTATTCCGACTCTTCATAACCTCATGGACTAGTCCACATCAGAGCTCCCCATCAGCCGTGGCCACCCCATCTTCTTCAAAGTCAAGCCAGTCACTTCAAAGATACCATCCATCCATCTTGCCCTTGGTCGGCCCTTCTTTCTTTTTCCTTCCATTTTCCCCACCATCATTGTCTTCTCCAAGCTTTCCTGTCTTCTCATTATGTGGCCAATGTACTTCATCTTTGCCTCTAATATCCTTCCTTCCAGTGAGCAGTTGGACTTTATTTCCTGGAGTATGGACTGGTTTGATCTTCTTGCTCATTCGTACCCACACATATTTTTCAGTTCATTCATGCCCACACATATTCAATCCACATTTTTCAAATCTGCACAATATATTTCTTCACACAAGCGTCCCCCAGATTTGTGGGTTTGTAACTTCAGCCACCATGCTGAGCACAGCCACAGGATCCTACTTCAAAGATCACAGCTGCAATTTGTAATAATTATTAGAAACATAGCCTTATAGTGCCACGAAACCAAGAAGTAGGATGAAAGGCACTATCTGAAACCAAGTTGCTGCCTGAATTCATTGTGAATGATCCCTGGTGGCATAGCAGGTTAAACCACTGAGCTGCTGAACTTGCTGACCAAAAGGTTGGCGGTTTGAATCCGGGAGTAGGGTGAGCTTCCGCTGTTAGCCGCAGCTTTGTTGCAAATTGTTCAGTGGGTATAACCTAGTTATCCAGTAATACAATGCACAGTTTAGCCAGTTCAAAAATATGCAACATAAATATGGAGAATGCAAAAAACCAGAAATTTAGTCTTTAGTATTCAGAGCAGTGCATTTTTTAAAAAACACTATCAGCAGTATAGTCACAATTCCGTTTGTGTATTACACTCACACATAGTCCATATAATCCATAGTCCATATAATCCATAGAAATAAACCTTGCAATGTTCCTTGGATATAGAAAATACTGGTCAGCTTGAAATGGAGCTACTGCCAGTCTGAAGCTTTATGCTGCACAGCAAGGCTTCCATCAAGCTCAGTTTCCAAGAGCAAACACAAAAGAAGCCCAACTCATTGGACAAACTCTCCTCAGTTATACTTGCCTGTGGATACAATTAACCTGGGTGTGTTTTTCTCTTAACATGCACACCCGATAGTGATGATCCCACTGCAACTTAGTCATATATCTTAACAGCTTCTGCCAGCCGAGCAGTTCGAAAACATGCAAATGTGAGTAGCTCAAAAGGTACCGTATATAACAAAATTATAACAAATGTATAACAAAATTATATGAAAAGCTGTTAGAATGGTCAACGGAGGATGAACTGATAAAAAATTGCATGCTGAAATGGGCAGAGAACTTCAAAAGAGCAATAGCTATAAGTGACTGGGAAATAATGTGGAATAAAAAGCTAAAATACACCTATGCAACAGACTTAAAAGAAAATTGGATGAAAATGTTTCATAGGTGGTATATGACACCAGTTAAATTAAACCACATGTACAAAGATGTATCAAAAGCCTGCTGGAAATGCAACGAACATGATGGGAGTTTTTTCCATCTTTGGTGGAGCTGTGCGGAGACTCAGAAATATTGGAAAGGTATCCACGAAGAAACTCAACAAATATTTAATAAAGAAATTCCCAAGAAAAACAGAATATTACTTATTGGGAATTACAGACGGGGACATAAATTTAGACTCAAATGAAGACATTTTATTTATGTATATGACAACGGCCGCTAGAATCGTCTTTGCGAAAGCCTGGAAGCAGAAGGAAATACCAGAGAAGTACCACTGGATAAAAAAGATAAATGAAATTAAAGACATGGACACATTAACTTTTTTATTAAAAAGGAACACAGGCAACCCGGTCAAACAAACAAACTGGTCAATTACAACAGCAAAACAGCAGAGAGGAAACAACCAGGCACAGCTTAACACCTCTCAACAAAAGATTTTCCCAGGTTCAGCCAGGCCTTCAAATGCTAATGAAACATTCACACCTAGCTCCAGCAGAGAAGAGCTCTTTGCCCCACCCCAGCCATTCCACAGATATATAAACCCATTGTCCTAATTCCAACAGACCTCACTAACTCTGAGGATGCTTGCCATAGATGCAGGCGAAACGTCAGGAGAAATGCCTCTAGAACATGGCCCTATAGCCTGAACAAATCCACAAGAACCTAAACTGGTCAATAATTGATGATTATATTGAAAATAGGTACAAAGATTTGTAATGGGACTTAGCCCACAATTTAGATGCACAAAATTGGATTTATATAAATACAGACAAAAAGAGACAATACGGGCAGAATTAGATGGAAGTCCTTTTTTTCCCTTTTTGTTTTTTG